AAAAAAAACTGCAGCTCTTTGATAGCTTCCCCTCCAGTCCATCAGAGATCCACCTGTTTAGAGGGTTCGTATTTCAGGTAAACATTCCTCTCAGCTCCTGAGGGTTGTGAGCATTTGTAGGACCTCTGTGGCAGCTTATTGCATGAATAGTTCTTTAATAGGTCATTAGATGTTCATGACCCTCCCCATGTTTTCTGAATCACATCGTGTTCTCAGACTTCTCTTAGCCGAAGCCGGGTAATGGCCCCGGTATCTCAAATGATCTCAAATGATCTGTACAATACTACAATTTGATATGGGACGTTGGACCCGGTTCTCAGCACGTGCTGCTCCCCACGAATAGATTGGAGCACTGTGATGAGTGTGACGGTAGATGTCTCTCCCTTCAGGAGGTGGTTCTTGATGGATCTGGTAATCTCATTTGCTCCTGCCTGTTTACCTGTCACTGTGGAGAGGGAGAGGGCTGATGAGGTGGTGCCAAGAACAGTAACTTCTCCGTACACCGCACCCGGAGGTTCCGATAACCCCACCTCCCAAATATCCTCTCTCCTTCTCACTGGTAGACTTAAGCTACCTGTTTTGGTAGGAGTTAGATCCCGGGCCTCTGTCCCATTGCCAGTCTGTCTTAATATCTGCCTCTTACTTGTTAGCTCAGTTACCCGCGTTAGCTTGGGCTGATTACCCTGATTATCATCCATTTCCTCAGAATCCTGCTGCATTGACCCTCTCCTTACCTCCTGCCCCTCTATCTTGTCTAGTAATTCAGGCGTATGCAAGTCCTCAGTTAGTTCCACCACCTGTCCCTCCACTTGGGAGGGCAGTTGGCCAGGCTGCTGCAGTTCCAAAGAAAGAGCCTGCTGTCCCTGTAGTGATCTCCCTCCTGTATGGGGAGTTCATCCATGGGGTAATGTCGCAAACCTTTGTGCAGCCCTTGCTTGGTGGGAAAGTGGATTATATCTTCGGAATTGCTACCCTGCAGTTTCTGCACTACCTGCACTACCTGCATCTCTTGTCCAGACATCTCACTCTCCAAGCACAGAGGACTGGTACCCTCACTAGAGATGCCTACCTGTCCTGACCTGGTAACCTGCATAGTTGTATGGTCTGTGGAACAGACTGCGCATCCTCATGACGATTTGCACAGCAACAAAATTAGAACCGTTGGGGCGCAGCGCTCCCGCTAGCGCTGCGCCCCGCTATCCTTTTTTTTTTTTTTTTTTAATTTATTATTATTATTATTATTATTTTTTTTTTTTTTAAACGGGCCCAGTGCCCAAGGCTGATATTCCAAATGATAATATTGAGGCCGGGGTCCTCACAGTCTGCCTGGAGACACCGAACCAAAAACCACAGTCTTGAATGATGAAAGTGATACTGACTCCACTACTGATCAAGATTACAACTATGTAGTATCACCTATTATGGCCTCCCAAACCTAGATCAACACCTAACCTTCCTTATACTAGAATGAACTTACCCGGAAACAATGCCAACCTAACTAACATCACCCATTGCTGCTCTCTTCTCGCCACCTCGCAGGCCCCCCCGATTCGCCTCTGAATTGCCTTCCTCCCTCGGCAACACCCAGATCTCTCTACAAGGCCTCACACTTCAGCGATTTGCTGATTACAGGGCAGCACCCCAGCTCCGGCCAGCGTCCTCCTGGCCGCGAACGCGAAGTCCTGGTGGTGCCAGTGCTGCAATGGGCCAGTGCTGCTACAATGAGCGGAGTGCTGCTATGAGGCAGGAGCGCTGGTTGCCAGCAGGGCGAGCCACATGGTGGGGCGAGCATTAGGTGTCACGTTGGTGGCCTAGGGAGGTGGAAGCTGAGTGCCGCAGCTTTACAACGCTTGCGCAGCGGCGAGCGAGATGGACTAAGCGGTGATCATGGTTGATAGAGCGGGGAGAGAGGAGTGAGTCCTTAGTTTTGTCTTGTGCTGAACTCCTGGCGTCGCAGGCTGGCGCGGGCAGTGAGGGGGGGTTGGTGCTGTTCTGACGGCGGTGCGAACTTTTAGGCGTCCGTATCTTTTCTATGTTTGAAGATGCTTGGCTTCATAAGGTGAAACGTGTTCTACGACTCAGTTGACTTTCAGCTTCAGCATCCTGGTGGTTTTCTCGACGACGTATTACTCGTAGAGGGGACGTGCGACAACAATGGTAATCTTCATTAACTTCATCTTCAACATTATCATCATCATAGACGACATCAGCATAGTCATCTTCACGTCGTCATCATCATCATCATCATCATCATCATCATCGTCATCATCATCTGACGTGAGCGACTCCACTCCTCCTCTGATCACTCCTACTTCTTTCTTGTCCTCTTTTCTCCTCTCCCTTCCTCCTCTCCTCTTTCTCTGCCTACTCTCTCCATCCATTCCTCATCCCTTTTCGCTATCTGATGCTCTGCACTCTGCTCTTCCCATTTTAGGGAGAGAGACGGGAGAAGTGGGGCTATGATGGGTGAAATTGGAGGAGGGAAGAGTGTGGAAGGGGCCTAGATATGAGGAAGGAAGGAGTGTAAGGACAATGGGTGAAATTGGAGGGAGGATTGTGGGGGAAGGGGAGGGAGTATGTCTCACGTTTCTATATTTTCTTCTCCTCTGCTTGTATTTTCATTATTTTTCCAATCTTTTATTTTTGTTTTCTATGGTAGGGTAAATTTCTTCTCCCCTCTTCATTCGCTATCTCTCTCTCGTCCTCCTTCCTCTCCTGCCTCCTTTTGCTTTCTCTCCCGTTCTCTGTCCTCATTCCCTTCCGACTCTCTTGATTCATTTGTTGGCTCTACTTACTTTCTGATGCATCGCTCTCCTCTTCATGCGTGTGAGAAGGGAGAAGAGTTGTGATGACGAGAGGAAGTGGAGGGGGGATGGGTGTGAGAGAAGTCGGGAAAGGAGAAGGAGGGGGGGCAGGGGGGAGAGAGGGGGTGAGGCAGTAGGAGAGGATTGAGAGTAGAGGTTGTCTGGAGTGAAGGGGGGTAGGGGGAGTGTAGCTTTTATTTTTTCTTTAATTATCATTTAATCAGCATCATGAGCATCATCCTACATATCAATCTTAAAATCAATCTTATCATCAACTAAATGACATCTTAATAATATGACTTTTCTTATCATCACATACTGAACTTCACAATAAAATAGCTTGAATGGTATTTTTTAAATACCTAAAAAATCGAATTAATTAATTAATTTATTTTCAATTAATCTCTCCCGTCCTCTATCAACTTAGTTATAAACAAGGTCAGGTCTCATCCTAACTAAAATCTCGATATTCTTGACTATCCTTATCATCCTGATGGTATTTTTTAATACCAAAAAATCGAATTAATTGATTTATGTTTAATTAATCTTTCCTGTTATCTAGCAACTTAGGGACAGTATGGAGATGGTGGGATGCAGCGTGGCACTATTTTACAGGCCGCCACTTCCCATGGGAAGTGGCTACTCTCCTGCTGGGAACCGTCCCGACAGGGGCGTAGGAGTGGACCCCGTTCATGTCTAACCTATTTGCCTACTCCAGACTGGCCGTACTTATGACAGCCTGGAGAATGCGCTGCTCGATCAACAATAACTGACACAATTACTGCCTACACCCATGCAGCGCACAAAATTCTGCTCAACCAGATGGCGGACGAACTGGACACTGTCAAGAGACAGAGACTTCGGACTACCTTCGAAGAGACATGGACTGACCCAAACCAGAGACTCTGCAGCCTCAATAACGACAACACACTCACATGGCATCCCTGGCTTCAGACAGAAACGGCATGGGAACGACTGCCAACACAACACTTTCAAGTAGTTCAACAACCGACAAACTTTATCCTCATCTATGACTGACAAACTACCGCCACTTCAAACCGCTGCTCCCCCCCCTCCCTTCCCCCCCCCTCCTCCTCCCCTTTCCCCCACCCCCCCCTCACTTCAAGCCCGGTTACCCATCCGCCACCCGACTCCCCTCTCCTCACTCACTTACCCGGCCAGGGACAGTCTTTCTCTCCACCCTCTACAGGAGGGCGTCCAGAACCCATAGCAGCACTGGTGGTTGCAGACTTTGATCTGCATCACCTTGCAACACACAATTAACAAATCACTATAGGGTCTGAAGCCCGTATCAGGTGGTTTCTCCACAAAAGGGGTGGGGTGCCCCCATTTTGGTTACCTTCCACCTTATCACAAGCACTTATCACAAGCATACCTATGTACATTATCTATATTCCGTAATTTCTCGCAATTGTAAAAAAAGGGACACTGGGCCCGATTCCCAGCAGGTGCTGCTTCCCACCAATAGATGGAGCCTACACCGGCTCAGCTTGCGGTGACTGCTCCTACCAGCACCCCAAGCTGAATCCGACGTGGTTTTTTGTTAAAAAAAAAAGAAAAAAAAAGGGACAAACAATGTCATGTCTCATCTTCGTCTGGTATTTCCATAAGTTCTCCTCAGTAATTTCAACTGCTTTTCAACAGAAATGGAACTCTAAATTCTGCATGTTTTTTCTTTGTGCCTCCTGTGTGTATCAATGTTTCTTTCAAAATCTGTATGAAGGATTCTTGGAGGGGGTGAGCTCTGATCTACACGAGCAGCACTAGGAGGGTAGTGATGCTCGGAAGGGGGTATGAGCAGATGGTGGGGGATACTCTACTCTGGGGCTGGGGCTGATGTGAGCAAGCATCAAACCTTAGTGGAGGCAGATTAGGGTATGGGGTAGCAGAGGAATACTTTTGGTGGGAACTGGATTTCTCTGGGTTGTAGGGTGTAAGATGGGACTGTTCCAAGTTGGGGCTGACGGGGAAGGTCTTCTAATTTCGACACTCTTTGTCGGCGTAGGCAGCGAAGGGACAGGGTGGGAAGGAGGAGAGAGGGAGGAAATTCTTACCTGGGTGGGACACTTCCATAGGTGACAACTGGTTTCTTCTATTCTGAATAACAGGATTTCAGGGATAGCTGATTCCTGTCTGGTGCCTGCTAGAGTAAGTAGTGTTCTGAGCTCTTGGTTGGCCGATGCCAGAACAACGCTGGCCGGTGCTGGGGTGTTTGCCCTGTGACCTGTTTTGTAGCAGGAGCATGAGGCCTGGTAGAGAGATCTGGGGACGGTCGAGGGTGGAAGGCAATCCAGTGGTGAACTTGGAGGTACTCTCAAGGCAACCCTTGAGCCGGGGATAGCTTTGGTAGTGAGTACAGGACAGCGATGGCAGGTATTGGGCAGGTTGAGGTGTCTTGGGAGTGTTGAGTCTTGTCAGGGGAAGGCTAGTGGATCCAAAAAAGGGGGCTTGCTGGTTTTTAATAATTTTTGGCGGCTTCTGCTTTTCTTCTTTATTCAGAAAAAAAAAAAAAAATGTTACGATGCTGGTCATTTCCCAAGTGCAAATTCACAATGAAAGACAATGCCACCCAATTGCGAAAGAAATGAAAGCACTTGCAAGAGATAAAGACCAGAGGAGAGGTAAAGAAGAAGAAGAAGAAGAAGAAGAAGAAGAAGAAGTACACCAGCAAGACCAATGACAATTCCCCCTTCCCTCTCCACCTTCCTCCTTCCTCCTTCCTCCTTTTCTTCACCAATCTTATTCTTCTCTCAATAATAATAATAACAATGAATGGATGAACCAGAATCAATGTTCGAAGTTCCCCGTTACTGCTGACTCAACTCACAACAACAACAACAACAAGTCCACCATGGCTATGTCTTCCCTCCTTCAACCTCCTCTCTCATGCATAGGCCATGGCGGACTACTGGGTGGCAGCTATGGTGCTGCCCTGATGTCAAGAAGACAACCCAAAGCAGCTATGCCGCTGCTTGACTTGGTCCGCTATGCCTGACTCTGCCTCGAGCTGCCCTGGTGCAGCGCTACCCCAACG